ATTTATATAAAAAAAAAAAGATTGTTGACTAACAAGATAGTATTATAATAATATTAATTTAAAAAGAAACATTTGTTAAAAATTGTATTCGTTTGAATTAAAATTTGATGTTACAAGTCGACATTACTTTTCGGTTCACTTAATGTGTGTTAATTTGATCAAAGAAAAAAAAAAAAATAGAAAAAAAAAATATGTTTTTTAATGTATTAAATCTTTCGGTATGTTTGTAAGGGTCATACGAAACTCCCTTCAAATGTTACATCACTTTTATTGATCTTAGGCTAACATCAGCGCCAACGACCCACGTACGACATGAACTGTACTTNTTGTATTCGTTTGAATTAAAATTTGATGTTACAAGTCGACATTACTTTTCGGTTCACTTAATGTGTGTTAATTTGATCAAAGAAAAAAAAAAATGGGTGTTTCAGATTATAATCATGGATGAAACACACGAACGGGTCATACGAAACTCCCTTCAAATGTTACATCACTTTTATTGATCTTAGGCTAACATCAGCGCCAACGACCCACGTACGACATGAACTGTACTTAAGGTAACTCACGAAAAGAGCAAAGACACATTGTCATCGATCTGTTTGTGAAAAGAATGATGTATGATACTTCAAAAATAATTTGATTTGTCAAATTTTGAAAACAAAAAAAAAACAAGGGATTACATTTACGTATAAACAAATCTATCAAACTATCTGTAATCATTCGTATCAAATATACTTCAGTTTTACGTTTAATTTATATCGATTGAAATCAAATGATTGTTGTTATTTTTTGTATAAATAATTTTAGGCTTAAAAAAAAAAAAAAAAAACAGAAGAAAAATAAAAACTGTACATTTTGGAGTAACGGTAAGATATTTTTGTTCATCTCACGTTACGAAATGTGACAAATATATATATATATATATATAAGAAGATCGAATTAAAGTAAGACACCTGTTATGTATATAAATGAGATGATAATGGAAATAATCGAATTGTAAATGAAGAATGGTATTAAAAATAAATTTTAGTATTATTTCAATTTGGTTATTATATATATATAGTCGTCAATTATTATAGACAAATATTACAGTAACCTAATTAATCTAAATTAAATAAATTATAATATATTATAAATAAACCTAAATTAAATTAAATTAAATATATTATAAATAAACCTAAATAAAATTAAATTAAATTAAATATATTTTATTACAGTGACCTAATTAGTCGAAATTAAATAAATTAGAATATATTATAAATAAACCTAAATAAAATAAAATTAAATATATTTTATTATAGTGACCTAATAATTCTAAATTAAATAAATTATATATATGTTATTATATATAAACCTAAATTGAAATAAAATAAAATAAAATAAAAAAGTGTGTGTGTGTATATATAAATTATCTCAACGAACTAAATAATTTGAAATAATTTGAAATAATTTGATGACAATTATTTTCCTATTGTAATTTAAATAATTTGTTAAATACGAAGATAAGTAATTTTTTAATATATTTAAATATTATTTCCATTACCATTTTCATGTTCATTTTTTTTGATCCCCTTCTTAATTAAAAATCTGTTTTTTTTTGTCTCGTATAAAAAAAAAAAAAAAGGAATACCAACAGAAGAACGTGATATTCTCTAGACATTTAAGTGAACACGAGGAGGCCAGTTTTCCATCATTGAGTGTAGTGAAACAGAAGTGGCGTGGCGGACAAGAAAATCAATAGGCCACGTGGGTCGCCGACCGGATTTTCTCAACCAGCTTTTCTTAACGAGAAACATCAACCCTCCTGATTTTTTATTTTATTAACAATTATTAAGAAAAAAAATAGCCTTCCCAAAAAATAAGACAAAGTAAAATGTAACTAAAATAGAAAAAAAATAATTCATACAAGTACACGCATTAGATTGAACAATAACATTTGTATTATTTTATTGTTAATAAAATTGATACATTTTTTCTAATAAAAAAAAAAAAAAAAAATGGGACAACTTAATGAGACCTAAACGCAATTATAAAAAAATAAAAAAAATAAAAAAAATAGTAAAATTAATTTGTGTAATAAATTAATGTTAGTATTAGTGTTAATATTATACGAATTCTAATGAGACCCAAATGCAATTGTAAACAAAAATAAATAGTAAAGTTAATTTATGTAATAAATATATAATTGTTAATATTATACAAATTCTAATGAGACCCAAACACAATTGTAAAAAAAATAAAAAAATAAAAAGTACAGTTAATTTATGTAATAAATATAATTGTTAATATTATACAAATTCTAATGAGACCCAAATGCAATTGTAAACAAAAATAAATAGTAAAGATTATTTATGTAATAAATATATAATTGTTAATATTATACAAATTCTAATGAGACCCAAACACAATTGTAAAAAAAAATAAAAAAAAGAAAGTAAAGTTAAATTGTGTAATAAATATAACTGTTAATATTACACATATAATGTGTAATAAAAATATTGTAATAAACTGTATGAATATACAAGACAAAAAAAAAATAATATGTCAATCATATTATTGAGGATAATTCACATGTGCAATAATTTATATATTTTTACATAAAAGAAAACTTTTGATCATAATATTTCAATTGTATAATTAATGTATCTCTAATTAGTATTTTGTACAGATGTGTAAGCATGATTAAATGTACATATAAAAACGTGTTTAATGTTTGAGTACTCAAATTCATCTTTTTATTACACAAAAAATGTGCTACCAAATAATATGAAATTTTTGTTATTTGTTAGTTTATCAAAAAATGAATGAATTATTAATTGAATTATTAATTGAATTATTAACAAGTACTTAAACCTTAATCACGTGTTTGTCGTATTTTTATAATAATGTAAAATTAACATTAGATTTATGGATGTTTTGTTGAATATATTTTTATGACTAACAAACATTTTGATGACTTTAAATGAAGGATTGAAAATAGATAGTAGGAATTAATATTTAAATATATTGCATAACATAATTTAATAATAATTTAATTTAATAATTGTTATAATTGTTAGAATAATTGTTAAATTTAATTTATATTTTTTTTCAATTATTTCAATTATTTTAATTATTATAATTAAAATTAAAATTAAATAATAATACTAATAATAATAATTTAATTAAATAATAGTTATAATTGTTAGAACAATTGTTAAATTTAATTTATATATTTTTTTTAATTATTTTAATTATTTTAATTATTTTAATTTTAATTTAAATTAAAATAATTTAATAATAATAATTTAATTAAATAATAGTTATAATTGTTATAATAATTGTTAAATTTAATTTAATTTTCTTTTTAAATTATTTTAATTATTTTAATTATTTTAATTTTAATTTAAATTAAAATAATTTAATAATAATTTAATTTAAATTAAAAAAATATAATTAAAGTTTTAAATACATGTGTATATATTAAAAAAAAAACATTTGAAATGACACAAATTGTTTTAGTTCGTAAATCTAGTGTTAAACGTTACAAAATTATTCTCTATTATATTAAAAAAAAAAACAAATAGATTTCATCTATCTAAACGAATAATAATTTACGACTATTACAACTGTGTATAAAAAAAAAAAAAAAAAATATTCTCTTGACTTGCATGAAACAAGATTTAACCGATAAGCAATAAATTTTAATCTGACAATCAGTACAAAAAAAAAAAATCTACAAAGAGAAAGGTAAAGAAATAAAGAATGAAAGAGAACGAGAAAGGAAACGAGAAAGACCAAAAAAAAAAAAAGAAAAAGGAATCCAAAAAAAAAAATAAGACAAAGAAACTTAACTTTCATTTTAACTTGATCACTTCGATACCCCCCCCCCTCAAAAAAAATAAAAAATAAATAAAAAAAACAGAACACACATCTGGGAAAGGTGGCACAACCAATGCTGCCGTATTTAGAGCTCTACTTATCCAATTTTAACAAACATGAGTGAAAATAATCGATACTGAACAAAATTAGTAACATCAATGAGTATCATATAAACTCGATTAAATTTAATTACGATGATATTTTCATTCAAGAATCTTCCTGTAAAAACAAATATCAAAGAATGAGTAAGAATACGATAACGTAATCATAGTTCGCACGCATGAAAGTTGCACGCATGAAAGTTGCACGCACGTTAATAAAAATTCAAATACTTCGAGGAATTAAATTTACGAGATAAAAAAAAAATGAAAGTAAACAAAAAAATATATTTACTATGGTCATTCACATGTAACTAATTAAACACAGTTATTTATTTTAACCCTTTGAGTGCTGAATACCTTTACCTAAAATGTTTTCTAGAAATGAAATAATTTATTAATAATAATAAATTGATAATTTATTAATAATAAATTATAATATAAAAATAATAAATTAAATATAATATAAATTATAATATAAAAATAATAAATTATAATATAATTAATAATATATATAATAATTTATTAATAATAAATTATATTTAATAATTCAAGTGTTTTTGTTTCTCTCTCTCTCTCTCTATAAATATAATATAATATAATTTAATTAATATAAAGATTATTTTTAATTTTTTTATTTAATATTAATATTAAGTCATTAAAATATTATATTATATATATATATATATATATATATATATTATATATATTTTATTTATAGTTATTTATTATTATATTTAATTCTATAACAATTATTTGACAATAATATTAACAAACACATAAATGTCTCGAAGAACCACAACCCTATAGTAATTTTGACCAAACGTTTATATGCGTCCATAGCACTCAAAGGGTTTAATATAATGCAACACATTTGCAATCATACCAAATTTATCACAGAAACAATAAAGGAAAATATGATCAAACAAAAATACAAAATCAATTCTTCGACGAACATAATCGTCCTATCACGATTCGTATCCTAAATATTGTACATTGATAGAAAAAAAAAAAAATAAATAAATAAATATAAAAACTTACGAATAATTAAAATCCTAGGAACAATTCCACGATGATCCCGTTTAGTAATCGTCTAAACTTTTACTCTCGATGGGGGGTTGATTTGATGATTCCTAAATATTTCGATATCCTTGATGAAGTATCATAGTTCACAAAACACTCAAAAAAAAATAAAATAAAATAAAAATAAATTAAAATGTATATCGATATACACGTTTATTACAAGAATTCTAACGTCGTGTGAAAATAAATCAATGAATGAAATGTTGAATGTTGTTAGATTGAAATTTCGTTTAAAAAGCAAGAAGAAATAAAAAAAAACAGAACTGGATTTTAAAAGGTAGACGCGAAAAAATGCAATAACAACAATAACAACAATAACAATAACAATAACAACAATAACAATAACAACACGAGTAAGAAAATATGAGAAGAAACAGGAAGCAGTTATGCGCGGCACGGTGGTCGAGCTCTGAGTGATCCGTCGTCTTCGGGTTTCTCCTCGAACGAGGTTGCTGCCGTTGCCATTGCCGTTCTGCGTTTAGGTATTACCCTCACTTTCCTATGTGACACTAAAGCGTCCTGTGCGCATGTGTGTAGTATTATACATTTATAATACTATACACACATATATAACACATGACGACACTTTCGAACTTGAAATAAATGTGAGAAATACGAGAGAACCTACGAACCTACCCTGTTGTTTTTTTTTTTTCATCCTTTTCCCCCTCACCCCTTTTCTTTCTTTCTTTCTTTCTATTTCACTAATCGTAAATCTTAATTTACGGGGGATGAATATTATAGGTTGATAATATTGCTTGGATAGAATGTTCAAGAAATTGTTTATAGTAATTGTAAATGTTATATTGTGTGTATGTGTGTGTGTGTGTGTGTGTGTGTGGATTGATCTAATGTAGTAAGAAAAAATATAATAGATCAATGTTTGGAAGATAATTTAATTGGAAGATAATTTTATAACAAAATATATATTTTTATATTATAATATTAATTTATAATTATTTATTATTAATATTATTATTATTATTATATTAATATTATATTTATAATATTGTAAATTATATTTATATATTTATTAGATAATTATAAATATTAATTTACTTATTATAATATTATTATATTATACTATTTTTTATATCTATATATTATACAATTTTTTTTTATTAATTATATATTATATAATTATATTTTTTATAATTATTTTATAATATATTACATTTATTATATTCTACAATATATAAATATATTTTTTATTTTTATAATATTAATATACTTATATTTTAATATCTTAATATATATAAATTGTCACGTCACGTTGTTTGTCCGCAATGGACTCCTAAACTACTGAACCAATTTTAATCAAATTTTGCACACTGTATGTAGTTTCATCCAACTTGAAAGATAGGATAGTTTATATCTCAATTTATAATCGCAATATTATTTTATTGCTAATTATTTGTTTTATTAACAAAGAGTCATGATTATCTCTGTTAGTTCGATAAGATTCTAACAGATGACGGTATAAGGTAATTCATTGACTTAAATACATATATATATATATATATATATATATATATA